CCAATGCAAATTCAAAGGTACAACAATAAGTGCCTTGTTTCAACATGTAATGCTATTACTGTACAAGTTTTAAGAAAAAAGGTATCAATGTCCCACTCCCAACCAGCAGGGAAATGGCGAAAAAGGGAGATTCAGAAGAAACTGATGCTAAGATACTTGATCACCTCAAATGAACTTGGAGACAAAAATGAAGAATTTCCATTTGTTAGCTTCGATGACATTGTTGCCGCAACTGACAATTTCTCTGACTGCAATATGCTTGGAAGAGGAGGCTTTGGCAAAGTTTACAAGGTAATGGCAAATTTTCACATTAATAGTTATAGGATAATATGCGTTAAAAGATTCATTAAAACTGAAGAAAGAATTGTACTTTTCATCATTTTCCAATTCAGAAGAATGCAATCATGCAGGGAATGTTGGAAGGAGAGAAGGAAGTTGCTGTCAAAAGGCTTAGTCAAGGTTCTGGGCAGGGTATTGATGAATTCAGAAACGAGGTAGTTCTACTTGTCAAACTACAGCACAGGAACCTAGTTAGACTACTTGGTTGCTGTATTCATGAAGAAGAGAAGTTACTGATCTATGAATACTTGCCTAACAAAAGCCTGGATGCCTTCCTGTTCGGTATGCACTGACTCTATTGCATAATGCAGTTCTTACTTTGACAAAAAGGATACTGCTGATGACTAACAATAGGTTTTGTTAAATACTACTTGTTGGCAGATGCTTCAAGAAAGCATGTGCTTGATTGGCCAACACGGTTCAACATAATCAAAGGCATAGCCAGAGGGCTTCTATATCTCCACCAAGATTCAAGATTAACAATAATTCATAGAGATCTTAAAGCAAGTAACATCTTGTTAGACACAGAAATGAGTCCCAAAATATCGGATTTCGGTATGGCAAGAATCTTTGGGGGAAACCAGCAACTAGCAAACACTACCCGCGTTGTTGGGACATAGTGAGTAATTCATTTACTAGTCAATGTTAAATAATGCAACTATAATAGTTTAGTCTAACTCAAATTCTTCCGTTGTTGAATTTGCTTAAACAGCGGTTACATGTCTCCTGAATATGTGACAAGTGGTACCTTTTCTGTCAAATCAGACACATATAGCTTTGGCGTTCTTCTCTTGGAGATTGTAAGTGGTTTGAAGATAATCTCAACTCAGCTCATAATGGACTTCCCAAACCTTATAGCTTATGTAAGTAGTGTGAAATACTCTAGTTTTTAATAAACATAAACAAAAATATATTAATTTGACAGAAAAAAGATTTACATTTTTCCAGACATGGAAGTTATGGGAAGAGGGAAATGCGACGAAATTGGTGGACTCATCGGTTGCTGAAAGTTATCCACTCCATGAAGTTTTGAGGTGTATTCATGTAGGACTTTTGTGTGTCCAAGACAATCCAAATGCAAGGCCACTCATGTCATCAGTTGTGTTTTTGTTAGAGAATGAAACCACATTGCTTCCAGCACCAAAGGAGCCTGTATATTTTTTACCAAGGAATAGTGAAACTGAAGAAACAAGGAGAAACATAGAAGGTTTTCTGAATACATCGTGTATCACGACACTAGAGGGCCGCTAGATGTTCACACCAACTTTTACTATATAAATGTTCAAGTCTTTGACTAACTGTGTAGGTCTGTAGGGTTAAGTGAATTTCAGCAGCATAGCTGGTCGTAATATATGTGAACGTACAGTCTTCCAAAGGGATATATATGAGCTTACTGTACTGAACACACTGAATTGAAGCTTGCAGCTTGGAAAGAAAATGCAGATAATATATAGGGATTTGAGAATTATATGGTCAAGTGTCATAACAAAGAATGCAATCAAATTTCACATGGCATTGCTTTAATCTTCAGTTGCTCTAATGCAAAATGGTGAAGGCTGCCTAATCTTTCAGTGCTGTGCCTCATATGGATTATTCATAGAATTCTTCATCAGCTGTTATATTTTTCCTATAAAGCTAGTAAACTTGCGGGGTTCTTCTTTTAGTGGTCATTGGAGAGTAGAAAACAACCATAGTTCAGACGAATATACTGTAGCAAGTTCAGAGTTGTTTTCAGCATTGTGTCACATACCTCATATGTGGGGTTTGCTATTTGCATAAGATGAGCAAATAATAAATACACTATGGCTTGCAGCTGGTACTAGCAAATATTTTTCTTGGCCAGGTTCACCAGGAATTTAGATGTTTATTTCCAACGTTAGCTGCAAGTGAAATTCAGGTTATTCAGCAAATCGCCACTGACGGCAGAGCTCACACATTCTGCAAAAGCTTCAGATCACCAATTCCTCCGAATGTGTAGCACGCCAAGTATTTTTTTTTTGTGTAAAATTAAGTAAGCTGAGAAGACCATAGTATGCAAATACAACGGAAGTCCTACGTATTCTTCGAACTAGGGATGAAAACGTCCTACTGCTACTGTCCTACATATTCATCGACGAATGGACCCCATGGCACTAGAATTAGAAGCGAGAGCAGAGACCCCGAGTGCGAGTACGTAGCAGTAGACAGTAGCAGTGTAGTACCTGGCGAAGACGGCGGTCATGGACACGGGTGCCGAACTGCGGCGGCGCGAGAGCGAGGCGTCAAGGGCCTGTCGAGCCGTACTACTACGAAAGGAAGAAGGGCGGCCGGCTGCGTGGTTCTGGTTCCTCCGCCTCAGCTCTCAAACCTCCGCAGTCCGCACTGCTGAACTACTGCTGAAGTCCTTGAAGGACACCCGATTAGATGGGCCTAAGACCTCCTCCTTTCGAGCGGCCCAGTCCATCGGGAACCACAGCATCCTCTACTCCTCTAGCGCCGACTAGGCAGGCCTTCGCACTTACAGCCCATCATCTCTCCCATGATGCCCATGCGACAGGACACACATCGATCTGGCTAGACCACACGTGCTTGGAACACTCCACTCAGGTGGTAGATTATTGGAGAAATAAAGAGAAAGGAGGGAAAAAAAGGAAAAATGGTAAAGAAAACAAGAAGCAATTATTTTGACTACTATTTTTACGAAAGCAACGTTTCGGATGCTAGTTTTACGAAGCGCGTTGCTTGAGCTATTAAAAATGCAATTTTCTCTGACGAGAGCAGAGACCTCTCGACTTCCGCAGTATTTTTTTTTCCTTGTGGGCTGGGGAGGCCATTTTGTTCTTCGGGATGTAAGAGGAACTATAAGAGGCTCTCCATATCCTTCCTAATTAATAGTAATATAGATTTTCAAGAAAAAAAAACCCTCAATAGCTTCTTTATTTGGTTATCTAAACATAGTCATCTTCGATTTCTCGCTAGCCAATGATAGAAAACGAGAATGGCTCACACAACATATAGAAAACTTGTTGGAGATTAGAAAAAGATATAGAAATATATATTCATTAAATGACTCTTCAAATGATGATTTGGAGAGTGAGTTTTAGAAAAACTCTTGGAGATGCTTTAAGGCCTCTATATAGATGTAAGCATATTATTTAGTTTTGGAGGGCATCCAAACTGACTTTTTCAATGAGGCCTGGAAAATCATTGGGCTTAGTTTTGGGCTCCAAAACCAGGCTTCCAAACAGCCCAAAATGCCAATACCTGCTCTATCCCTGGCGCATTGGTGCTGATCCCATCCTATATTAAAAAGTTTACTGGCTTCGACTCGACCTCACCTCGTGTTCAGAATTTTAGAAAACCAATGCGGTAATCCACCCTCGGTATGATACATGATCCAAGATTATTGATGATCTCTGTGGCAATTGTCAAACACCCCAAATATTTTTGAAAGAACAAAATCACACGACAAAGAAGATTCGGAGGCACATTCACGAACAGTGCTCTTATGCCACACCACATAGTAAGAAGGTGCACCAAACCAATAGCAATGTAACTGTCGACCAAAATACTGTACAAGCTCATAACAACATACACATCTCCTATCACAAAAAATAAACAAAGAAACCATACACATCTATAAAAGAAAAAAGTGATTCATACATACTAGCATTCATATATAACCAAATTAACCATCTACCGTCCCTCCAACACCGTGACACTCATGTCATTCACACAAGAGCTGATACTATTTTCTCCTATTCCATGGTCATCTGAATACCTTTGTGGGAAATAGACGGGCTGTTTTGGGACTAAAAGTGGTGTGGTTTCGTTCTCCAACATGAACACAACCGATGACATGAGAGGTCTACTGTATGGATTGTCTTGCACACACAAGAGTCCTATCTGGATGCACCGTAAAGCTTCGATTGGCAAACAAGTCTCCAAAATGGCTAAGTCCACCAAATCAATCGTCTTACCATCTTGCCATAAGCTCCATGCCTAAACCAAATGGAATTAATCGCATATAAGATATCATATAACAGAAGCGTTTTTCTTTTACCTTAACAAATTCAAGAATGTTAGCATACTTACGTAAGCTAATAGGTTAGGAAAGCCAGTGAATCGAGTTGCAGTGATGCTCAAACCACTTATAATCTCCAAGAGTATGACACCAAAGCTATATGTATCAGACTTGATAGAAAAGACGCCATCCATGGCATATTCAGGAGACATGTAACCACTGTTATGCATAAAAATAATTAGCGCTAAGTAATAAACAATTAGTGCTAATTAAAAATAATTAGGATAAATATTGAAAAATAAAAATTAGTTTCAAACATCAATGCATATTAATTACTCACTACGTCCCAACAACTCGATTAGTATTGTCTTCTTGTTCATTTCCGCTGAAGATTCGTGCCATACCAAAATCCGATATCTTAGGACTCATATCTGTATCCAACAGTATGTTGCTTGACTTTAGATCTCTATGAATTACAGTCCACCTCGAATCTTGATGGAGATAAAGAATTCCTCTAGATACTCCTTTAATTATCTTGAACCTTGTTGGCCAATCAACGACATGTTTACCGGCAGCATCTGTACAGTATTGTGAGTAAGCAAGAAAATTCCAGTGGTAAGTGGTAACTATGACTATTTGTCTACTCACTGTTTTCTTGCTAAATGCAATTTAGTCTAAACATACCAAAAATGAAGGAATCCAAGCTTTTGTTTGGTAAATACTCGTAAACCAGCAGCTTCTCGTCTCCATGGATGCAGTAACCAAGAAGTCTTACAAGGTTTCTGTGCTGCAATTTGGCTATTAGAAGAACTTCATTTCTGAATTCCTCTGCTCCTTGTCTAGAACCCTTACCAAGCCTCTTGATTGCAACTTCTTTGTTATCGTCCAGCATGCCCTGCATGATTTTGTCGTTCTTATACTCAACAAACAATGATAAAGTTTCTTAGTACTGTAGTTTTGTAGAAATTTTACTGTGGTTACCTTATAAACCTTCCCGAAACCTCCTTGTCCGAGCATATTGTGCTCAGAAAAATTGTTAGTTGCAGAAACAATATCTCCAAAGCTAACAAATGGAAGATCAAAATCATCATCACCAAGGTCATTTGGCGCACTTAAGGAACCTATCATCGCGTTCGTCTGGACATCATTGTTTCGACGTTGGCCTTGAAGGAATATCAGTGGGGTGGCTCTACCTCTGTGCCTGCATATCCAAACAAGGTACATAGCCGCAGACGTGAGTGCAAGCAGAGATACCGTAACTGGAACCACGATTCTTGCCACATCCCTCCTCTTCCCTGTAGCTGCAGAAATGTGTTACAAAGAAGAATATTAATTCGTACTAGTTGACAAGATGAAAGAATGTTAAATCTAGAGTAACTGGTGAAGTTAGAAGTTTTGTGCTTACCAAATTCAGACTTTGACAGCCTCACATAGAGATCCTGCCCTTTGTCCACGTAACGAACGTCCACGATGCCATCCGTCCACATGACGCAGCCACTGCCACCGTCTCTGCCTCGGATGTCGGCGGCGGCGTACGCTACGCACGAGCAGTTGGCGAGGCACCTCGCCCTGCACTGCTCCAGCGTCGCGCTCATGTCCACCGTCGTGTTGTCCGTGTCGGGGAGTTTCACTCCTCCCAACACCATGAACCCATCCGTCGTCGTCCCGTTGATGCACTCCAGCGGCGTGTGCCGACGGCAACCATCGGAGGTCTCCCTCATGGACCACTGTGACGGCGATGCCGGGCTGAACCCGTCTATGCAGCTGCAGAACTGCGTGGACGCGCTGGCCGAGTTGCACAGGCCGAACGCGCCGCACTTGGCGTAGCTGTCGCAGAGGTCCCGTGGCGACTGCATCCAGACGTTCCAGACCCGGCTGACCGGCTCCCACGCCAGACGCTCCACCGTCCCGTCGTCGTTCACTACGAGGCGGGAGAAGGGCGCGCCGGGCATGGCGGTGACCATGTAGGCCACCTCGTCGGGGCGGACAACAACCTGGACGGAGAACATCCCGGAGTAGGACGCTATCTCCGGGATGCCGCTGAACCTCGGGCCGATCCACGGGCCCGTGGTGTACGTCTTGACTTTGCCTTGCCACAAGAAGATCGCCGGCAGGCCCTTGGTGTCCAGTACCAGGCGATAGTCCCCTGGACTCGGATCGTTTGGCGCACGCCACGACGTGAGAGGCCACTCGTCTCCGGTCTGTGGGTTCTTGCCGAGCCTCATGCCGGCGAGCAAGGTGTTCGACGGATGATCGAACGATTGCCAGAGGATGCTGCCGCTGCTCTGCTCGCGCACGACCAGGTTGCCTGACTCAAGAAACTGGGTCACCGCAGAGACGGCCGTCGTGTTGGAAGACCACGCGGTCTGGCCAGAGCCGTCGAGAAGGAGAAGGCCCCGAGCGCTGCCGATCACCAGTACGCCGGAGGTGTCGTTGAGTGGCCTATCACGGTTGGCCACCCAGCAGACAGCCTCCGGGGACGCGGTGAACCAGATTCCGAGGTATCTCTTGGTTGGGGCCCCGGTCGGGGCGAAGAACCCCAGCGTGAATGAGCCACCCACAGAGACCACCGTCTCGCCATCGGTGATGTTGGAGCCATTGTTGACGAGCGTCGTGTCAGACACAATGCCGGCGGCGGAGGTAAGGAGCATGGAGAGTGTCAGAGCAAGACGGTAGAGAAATTTGATGGTTGCTGCCGCCATGACCAGGGATACTCCTTGTCCTTGCACAGGAGATTTCATGGTCTCACAAGATGCTACTAGTAACTAAGAAGATTTAGATTGTAAAATTTAAAACCGTGCGCATTATGTCATCATGTTTCCAGATTATAAGTAGCCGCGCTGACTGACTGAATCCATGGATGATACGTGACTCCAAGAGAAGTCACATCCAGAAGCTATGACTGGAATTTCATGAACTCAGAGTCCACGATCGAAGTCCAGCAGCTATGAATGGGAATGCGGTACCTGTGACGTGCAACGTATGTTTGGTACTTGGTTACAAGTTACAACGATTTTAAGAGACTCTCTGTGTCCTTTTTATAATTGTTAGAAATAGAGATTTTGATGAAAATATACACTCCAATAACTTGTTTAATTAGATATTTAAATATATAGTCATCATTATTCTAGGTTTCTCACTAGCTAAAAATTAATATGGAGAGTGAGGATGGCTCTCTAGAGTACACACAAAATATAGAAAAGTTATTGGAGAGTAGAAGATATAGAAAACGATTTTTATTCAAATGTCTCTTCAAATGATTTGAGGGATGCTCCTGTTTTTGAGAGCCTATTTTTTTCATCTGTTCTAACATGTGAGCTCTCAAATCAGTGCTCTTAAATTTATCCCAACAGACAATGACACAAGGGTCCACTCGACATCCCCTCTTCTTCTCTCTTCCCCTCTCTTACCTATCTAGCTATGCATGTTTGGAGCAGAGGAGTAACATCGATATCTCCCTGATGAGCCTCTTCGGGAGGCAAGCCGTGTCAAGATCTCGCGGAGCAGCCACTTCGAGCGAGGTCGCTGGGAGGAGTGGCTGGACCAGGAACGCCGAGAGGTGGAGTGGAGCATTAGACAATGTCGGGGAAGCCGGCGAGGAGCAATTGGGATGGGAAGAGAGAAGATACGCTAGGATTTCCCAAGAGGTTATGTGGCTGGGGTCTCTAGTCGCTGGGGAGAAGCGCCAGGACCTCGCTGGGAGTAGAGAGCCACGCAGTCGAGAGAGCTCATTGGGGAGTGGAGCTGTGTGGGCGGGATGTCGCTCGGGAGAGGAGCTATGTAGCCGGGGTACTCGTTGGAGAGCGATTGGGGTCCACACCGGGAAGGAGAGGAGCCGTGTGGCTGAGGGAGCTCGCCGGAGAGGGGAGCCACGCCGGCCTGAGGGAGCTTGCCAGAGAGGAGAGCCACGTGCGGCTGAGGAAGATCCGTTGGGGGAGTATGATCTTGCCCGAAAGGAAAGGAGTCAGGTAGGTGGGAAGTAGCTCCAAAGGCCAAGTAGGGACCGGGTGGAGAGCCGTAGGAACGAGGGCTGCCTGGGGTTATTTGAGGACCTCTTATTTTTGGGCTCTTGTAGGGCCTGCTGAACCGGCCTGTGTTGTTTATTTAAGCCTTCAAATTTGTTTAAGGGTTTATTTGAGGCCCTGCTAGAGTTGCTCACACACCAGACTTAGAGTCGGCCATCCCTGCACCAAACTCACACCTAGTATAGAACCTCCAAAACAGGATTTACATTACCTGCCCCATCTCCCAATATTCTCAAATTTGAAAATAGTGACTTGAGATCCAATTTCGATGAACCTCCAAGTGGCAGTGGCGGTCATCCTTGTATCTATGGATAACTGTTGCCGGTCATTACGACATCCTAACAACTAGAACGTAGAAAACCGAATCTCTTTTGCTTGTTCTATTTCTCAGTTTTCTCATATGTGAAAATAGCGACCATAGATTCAATTCCAGTGAACATCTAGGAAGCCGCAGTCAGAGTGCCCAAGAAAAAAAAAACAATGCCCCATCATAATTAGGAGCAGCGGTCGATCGTGCGCGTATGGGATGCCTTCTTTTTTCTAAGTACAGATAGATCGAGAGTTAAAATAGAAAATTGTTGGAGTTAGACTTTTCTAGTCTTAAAAAAAATCAAGATTAGTTTTTGTACCGAAATGTTGGAGATTTTCTAACCTCGATGATCTTCTTCTCGGCTCCTAATATTTTTTTATCACCTCTCATCAGCATCTATTCGTACACACGCATGTTCACACAACACACGCATACTACTTACACCACCCGTATATAAACAAACATATAACTATACTTAGATCTGAAGGCCGCGTCCTTGTTGAGATCACCGAAATCCTCTGATTTCGTACACAACGGACACGTCACGGTCTCATTACGGCGTCACAGGACCGCACGTGCACGCGGCTGATCCGGCCGTGAAAGCGGTCGTCGGTCGTCGCCACGTGATGCGAGGGGATATATTCGTCGGTTGAATTGAACTCGGGTGGACACGGAAACCACGGCAGCGGATGCCCCAGTGCCCCCCCACGATGCCCAAACAGTCTGTAAAAGGTGGGGAGAGAAACAAAAAAAAGAAAGAAAGACCCGGAGGTCATGCTTATGGATGAAAACGGTACGGATATTTATTCGACAGTCCGTTCGACCGAACAAATATGAACATTTATCTGAATAGTTACTTGGATATCCGGATTTTTTTTCGGATACGGATACTAAAACGGATATCTTAGGCGGATATCAAATACGGATGTAATATCATCGATATCCGGCGGATATCGGATAATCCGGATAAGTATCGGATATATCCGGATATTTAAAAACGGATATTATCCGGATATTTATTCAAAATTTAAAAATCACAAATTTGAACCATCCAAACTATCTCAAATGAAAAGTTGACCAAAACAACAATTGTAGATCTTGATGAGTTGAACAAACTTGGTATTCAAAACTTTTCAATTTGAAGTCATTTAGAGTTCATAATACTAGAGTCAAAGTGTTGTTTTTTCATTTGACCAAATTTGACTTGGTCAAACTTGCTCAAATGAGACACTAAATGACCTCAGATGAAAAAACTCTAAATACCAAGTTTGATCATCTCAGCAAGATCTACAATTGTTACATAGCTCATTTTCCCATTTGAGAAAGTTTTATCAAACACTAGTCATAAATTCTTGAATCTCATATAGACTTTCTGAAACTATGTCACACACTTGTGAAATTTGAACTACATTTTGTTCAAACTTTCTCAAATGAAAAAATGGCCTATATAAGGATTGTATATATTGATGAGATGAACAAATTTGGTATTCAAAACTTTTCAATTTGAGACAATCTAGGGTTCCGAAAACTAGTTTGTAAGCATCAAAATTTAAAAATCAC